CCTCCCCTCTTGAATACTTTCTTTCATATGTTTGCATTTTCAAGGAATTTGCTGATTTCTTCCAATTTTTTGTTTGTCTTTTCCTCCATATATTTGAGAGATTTATCATTCCCTCTTTAAGAGTTTCAAACATTCTCTTGAAGTTATTTTTAGGTCCTTTTCTTCTGCTTCATCTATATTTGGTTGTTCAAGTCTTGCTGTTGTAGGGTCTTTAGGTTTTACTGGTATTGTGTTGCTCTTCATGGTGTTGCATGTGTTCTTACCTTTTCTACTCATCTTTTCCTCTAATAGGTGTGGTTGGTGCTGTCTAAGATTCTGTTGATTAATCTTCTAGGTGCCAGTGAATTTCAAGCTAAGATGCTTGTTCTTTCTGGTAGAGTCAGTGCCAAAGTTCTAATTACCCCATTGGTTTACTCTGCATTCCTGGAGATAGCTCAGCTCTCCTGGCCTTTGTTCTGCTCCCTTGAAAATTTGGTGACTCAGGCCTACTTTGGCCTAGGTTACTAGCTTTGACCTGTTTATTTTAAATCATGGTCTAGATCCCCTCCTGCAGAATTCCCTGGATTGGAGTTGGTCCTGCAAAAGTCTCTGGTTCCAGTCAACTGCCTTGGAGTTCTTAGGTTCAGGTGTACCCAGAACTGCAGAGGACCTGGCTCAGGCTTATTCCATCAGAGGTCACAGACTCATGCTCTGACCCGCAGAAGTTTCAGGTTCCTGCATATTCCCTTTGATGTCCCAGACCAATGGCCGGCCCCACAGTGGTTCCTTCTTAGGCCTACTCCCTCTGGGGTCCCAGACTCATGCCTGGCCACACAGAGATCTCTGGTTCCTGCCTACTCCTTTGGATGTCCCAGATTCATGTCCAGACTGGCAGAGATCCTGACTCAAGCCTAGTTCCTAGGAGGTCCTAGGATCACGCCCAGACCCTCAGGGGTCCTGACTTATATCTACTCCCTTGAAGGTCCCAGATTCACATAAGTACCCTCAGTAGTCTCTTGTTCTGGCTCACTGGCTCAGTGGTTACTCCACTGTGCCTGTTCTGGAGGAGTTTCTTTTATCTCAGGTCTGCTCTGTACCAGGTCAGTGGCTCAGTCCTGGTCTCCCAGTATCCCAGGACTCTATTGGCTCCCAGCTCACCCTCCCATGTATCTTTCTTCCTCAGGCCCACTGTGGCCAAGGTGACTGGTTCAGTCCCATTCCTGTGGAATTTTTTCTAACTCTCTAGTCTTTAGATTTTGGTACCTGCATACAGTAAAGTGTAGCACTCTGGCCATGTCATATGACCACATGATCTTGTTCCACAATTACAAGACAGAATGAGCTAACTGATAATGGTGTAGGTTTTGGATACCTGAAAGTTTATCACCAGTGATCCCTCTTCCAAATCAACATCTCCTAAATCTGCCAGTTTTACCAACTTGAGACTGAGTATTGAGGCATATGAAGCTATGGAGGCCATTTTCATTCAAACCACCACATTCTTCTTCCTGTTTCTCTAGGCTTGAGGCCTAAAAATAATGCAAACTGCGTTGAGTCCTACTTCAAAAGTCCCCATAATGTTTCATAGTCTCAGCACAGTTTACAAGTCAAAAATCAAGTTGTTTCTGAGACTCAAATCAATCTCTCAACTGCATCCTCCCTAAAACCAAAAGCAAGAGAAAATTGCTTATTTCTATTGTATAATAGCACAAAATATACATTACCATTCCAAAGGAGATGAAAGATTCTAAGTATTGAAGAAATATTGGACCAAACAAAATTGATATCAAGGAGGGCAAATTCCAAATTCTGTAACTGCATGTCTGATGTCCAAAGATTTAGATTGCTCTATCCTGTCAGTTTTGCTGACTGCAATGGACTGTACATTCTTTTACAAATTCTTCTTGACAGATAGATAGCCTACAGCTGTGACACCTTCAACATTCTGGCCTATTCATCACAATTTAAGGTTCACTTTTCTAGTATAATGAAATGGTCTTTCATGACCTTCATGGTAGTAGTTCCTATCACACGGCCCTCTGCATCTCTCCTTAACCAAGAAAGAGGAATATAAAACCCTTTACTACTGTATCTTTTATAACTCCATATACAGAACCACATGGCCTATGAACCCATTGTCAGCTTCCAGATAGTTTTGGAGCCTTTTCATTTACTAGAATTACAATTGAATAAGATTTAATTTTTTAAAAAAAAACATGGCAAATTGATATCTATTCTCTAGGAGAATTTCCATTTTGTTCAAATAATATAATATGGAAATTGCAGTTCTAAAATTCAAGAAAAATGTCTGTCATAAGAATCTAAGCAATCTTAGAAAATAACACTTGTCTTGTGGTAAGCTAACAGAATCACTTTGTCAAATCTATAAACCCTGGAATAATTTGGGACTTTCAAGATGGGAGACATTTACTTCAGCACTATAAGCAGAAAACCACATTTACAAAGTGCCTAAATGGTTATTTCTACTTGTACTTTATGGGAATATTCAAATCATTCAAACTATGACAGAAATTTATATTTAGAAATGAATTGGATATTCTAAAAATATAATTGTTAAAATTGGAGTAGTTCTCAAAAAACAGAAATTTGTTTTAGAATAATACTATATTAATCCATCACTAGATTTTGGTCTACTTTGTATTTCTGGAGATTTTATCATTTATTTGCACTTAGACTGAATTCTAAATTATTTTCTGCCTGTCAACCTAATATTTTAAAATTTTCTCCTGCTTCTGATTTTTACTCACTAAAATTAAAACTCTTTTTCTAAGAACTCTACCATCTCCAGGAGGAATATTAATTAATGGCTTCAATGAAATCACCAAAAACTACAATTTGGGGGAAATCTGTTGGTCTATACTTCTTAACTTGATGCTAATGGAAGATACTATCATTCAAAACTAGAAATGTTTTACACTTTTTCTTCAGGCTCAGAGACTAGTTTTTAGATTGTTGGAAGGATTAATATTTTTCTTTTCTTCCTTTTTTTATACACATGGCTCTTAGGAAAATATTTTTGTGAATCAAGACACAAGTCTCTCGTTGGATTGAGCTATCACCCACAATTGGAAGGTTGATTTGTTCACAACATTTTCTACTTAGCTACTAAATTTATTTTTATCCTCCATAGCTGCTATCTCAGCTTGGTGTATATGAAACATTTAACCACCAGGAAGGTACATATATGTAATACCTTGTGCTTACTTAGCATTGTAGGTTATGGTTAGTTTCCATTCATTTAAATGAATGTGAAGACTTTTCCAAAGTTTTTTTTTCCTGATTTAGAAGGAGCTCTTCAGAGAGTTACAAGAAATCTACTCAAGTCACTGAGACAATCTAACTCACCTCTTTTAAATTATCTCAAGTAAACATTTTCCACTATATTTTCCATTCAGGGAAATCGCTATGTAGCATTTTAAGGATGTAGGATGTGTTTTAGAGTTGGAAAACCTGAAGAATATACTCACCTTTGTGAGATATTTGAACATATGAGAACAGCAGACATTTCCAAGCTCTTTCTGTGTTTAACATAATAATATTGAATCCTGGAAAATCAGTGGTCACCAGAGTCAGGAACTTATTGATTCATGATCCCAACAACTGGAAAAGGCCCATACTAATATTTGAAGATAAAGTAAGTAGACGTATACATAAAGGAATATATTATTTTTTTTTAAATTGTAGCCCTGTTTTCAAAAATATATAGAAAACTAAATATAAAATGTATAAAGGCAAAAATACTCTGGAAATGCACTGGAATAAGTCATTTTTGTCTGCTTAACAATAGTAGATGGGGAACTAAAGGCATAAGCAACACAAGAAAACATATGTGCTTTATGTACCATTAAATATATCAATTATTTTTTTTAAGTTTCACAAGATTTAAAACCCAGAAATTTGAAAATTCAGGCAGGATTACCATGAATTCCAAATAATTTTGGTTTACAAAACAAATTTAAAGCAAGTCTAGGTTATATAGTAAAATCTTAAATGCAAAAAAAATGCATGACACTAAATTACACACTTAATTACAAATTTGTAAAATTAAAAAGTCTTCTGTAAAATATGAATGTATGCTTGATAGAATTGTTAATAAAAATAATAAACAAATTTCAGAATCTCAAATTATGATGGCTATGTGGGCTTTTCCACTGTTTTTGTTATATTAAGTTACTCTGATTATGTGATTCTTCAACATATTCTTTTGTATTTACCTCACTAAATTAAAGTTCATATGTAGAGAACTTCTAAACATATGCTGTTAAGTGAAAGAAACTCATTTTCAAAGGTGATAAAATGTAGGATTCCAATTATTTTATATTCAGATAATAAAAGTACAATCATATTTTTAAATATCACTGACATACAGGATTTTGAAGTATAGAGAATGGATAAATCAGTTAATATTTTGTAGTTTTATACTGGTAAACCTTTTCAGTTTGATAGTTATAAACATCAATCACACTTCTTTAAACAAGGAAAGGAAATATTATTTTCAGGTTAATAGGATTATCACAGATTACTGCAATGGGGCCTTACAATCAATGAGAAAAGAGAAGGGCCTCAAATTCAAATACATCATGAATAAGAAGATATTATAGACAAGGAGCAATGTGAAGGTTAGTTGATGAAGCATTAGAAGAAAGGTTAGGGATAAAGGGATATTCTTTAGAAACTATACTAATATGGTTATGAAGACAAACTAGAGTGATCAGACATCACCAGGATGATTGAAATTATGAAGCCTTGTGAAATACCAAGAGTGATTTGATATCAAGGATATTGGACAATTCTGGCTAAACTTACTGAGAAACAGAAAATAATGTTAATCAGCAACTACATGGATGGATCTTTGGTAATTTTTTAAAGCCTGACTAAAATATTTCCAATCATAAGATTTATAATGTTGCACAATTATAGTTCTTTACAAAATGTATGAAACATCACAACATGAAGTTATTTAATAGATAAATATTTTTTAAAAATTTAGTAAAATATTTCTAAGAATAAATGGTGGATATGATGAAAGAATCTAGCTTGTCTAAAACATAAAACAATATCATGGAAGATTCAGAGATAATTCTCATTTTGGCAAAGCTTAGAAATGAGTGGAAATATAGGCAAAAGAACTGTACATAAGAAATGTACTGTCTTGAAAAAGTTAAGTCCACAAATGTTAAAAGTTAACAATGCTTTCTGCCCTTAGACATTCTGGAATATCACAACTATAGAATTGGATAGCAGATGGTAGAGGCCTAGAGTCTCATTTGTAATGTGGGAATTTACAGATAAGTAAGGAAATACCTAACATGGCCTGTGTATCAATATATTTGCACTGAAAATATGAGCAATAATTCATGTTTAATTTAAATGTAGACAAATTAAATATATATTTTTCATGAGTTAATACTCAAATATTTATTTCATGATTATTTTAGCACAGATATATAGGGAAAGCCATACTCTCAGTAGATAGGAGCTGTCAAATATTTATCTTCTCTACCACTGTTTAAGTACCCACAATATAAAGAAGAAATATGAGCAACTTTTAAATTTTTTCTTTCTTCTTTTGAGACTGGTGTCAATGTACAGTCCAAGCTGATCTTAATCATTCACTCCTCCTGATTCATTTACAAATGCTGGGATTATAGGTGTGTTCTACTATGCATGGTGGATATGGCAGATTCTAGTGTTCTCAAAAGAAATAGATCCTAAACCATTTTTTATGGCTTTCCATAATTTTTAACATATACAGATACAGGGATAGTGATTGCAAAAGCAATGATAACAGACAACTTTTATATACTCTACTTTTGTCCTATCAAGTTCAGAAAGCATTATAGATTATGTATATATTCATAATAGAATGTTGTAAAAGTTTCCCTTTATTTCAATATTCTTCCTGCTCCAAATCTATAATTCCTTTCTACTTATGATAAAACAACTCAAACAAACTCCAATAGAGAGAATAAATCTAATCACTGATCCTCAAAACTATCAAAGCCACAGTGAGTATAGTGGCTCATGACAACAATTACAGTACTGAAGTGTTGAGACAGGAGAATCATGAGTTTTAAGCAAGTCTGCCTACATAATAAAACAGTGTCTCATACATAAATTGTTTAAATAGAGTTATGTCACATGGGAGTAATGATTTAACCAGAGTCATAAGGTGTTACGCAAAAGGCCTGGTGCCAGGTATACAATACCCCTCTTCTTATTGTAGATCAGTTCAGGGAAGTGTCCCAGTGAGTAACCCTCACACAAGCATTACAGGCAATTAACATTGCTTTTGGTTGCCTATTATATGTAATATCCCACTGCTGAAAATACCAAACACTTTGAACATAGAGCTTGAAGAAATCATGCAGGTATTGATATTTAAGTTTTCTTCCTGCTAAACTGATTTCAAGAGATTATTAAGACTGGTAGTGGAGAGTAGCATTCTTACCCAATTGTGAATTCTGTAAACTCTATAATGACCGCCTGGCAAGATATGCCCTTGGGAAAAATAGTGGCATGAATATTATGGGTATTACCAACATCTTTCTTTCTGGATTTAAAGCCCTCTCCATGGAAGAAAATTCATGTCCAGTACTGTAAATCTGGTCAAGAAGCATTAACTGTATAGCTTATAGTCCCTATGGGAAAATCTATTGCTACAGTTTTGTTAGATAGGCATACTATAAAGTTGCCTTATAAACACTTACCTTTATACCCACAGATAAGTTCAGTTCTCAGTTGTCATTAGAGAATCTTCTTTTTGCAGTGAATAGTTCTTAGTGGAGGGACTTAATTGGTCAGAGTATTGAGAGTGTCTGTGGAATGCTTAAACCTAAATGAGACATCAAGAGCATATCCCCACATAAGACTAAGGGAACATTATAAGAAAGGGGGAAAAATGTATCAGAATATGGGGAAGAGTACTGTTAAAAAGTGTGCTGGGATATGACAAGGCTTTGCCCTCCAATGAACTCAAGGCAGTTTTGGTCACCTTTATTAGCCCTGCACAAGACCAACCCAGTCAACATTCTAGCATGAGGAATGTGGTAGTTTGAATGAAAATGGCCCCATAGACTCATGTATTTGAATTCACAGTCATGGAGAGCAGCATTTGGCTTCTGTAATTTGATGAACACACTGGCTATCTTGGCATACAGAATAGCCAAGAAAGGATTTAGCTTGATGACATCAGAGAACAAGACAATTGCTTTCTGCAGCTCACCATCATTTAGGACTTCAATGGCAGCCCCCTTCTTTTCATTTGCTTGATCCATCATCTCCTCAGTTATCTCTGCATTTTCATCTCCCATCTGTAACACGAGGGCCGGCCCTCGTGTTACACCCATCTCTTGAGGGGCATCAATGTCTGGCTCAATTACACCTTCATTGTCAATTTCTAGATCACTTTCCTCACTTGATGGTTCATCCATCTTTATGCTTTCCTCTGTCTTATTATCTCTTTTTTCTTCCTTGATATTTTCTTCTGATTTAGCTTTGTGAGTAGCTGGTGGTACTTTACTTCCCATGCTCTCCACCCACTCCCTCAGGAATCGCATTTCATCAGTGTGCAGGACACTCGGATCCTGCTTACACATCTTCACGAAGGCCTGAAGCTTGCTCACTTTGTGGGGATCCATGGTCGGGATGCGGGAGGCTAGTGAAGGCCTTGGAGGCCCGGGCGTGACTCAACAGGGCATAGAGAAAGGGAGCAGCTGCCTTGGGGCAAAACAGACTAGAACCTCACCAATCACTGGCTCTCCGCCCCCCAATGGCCTCGTGATCCCTCTTTTTAAAATTTCTAACAATGCTTGTGGTTAAACTCAGGGCCTTACACATGAAAAGTATGTACTTTATCAATGGCCTTCTTATTTATGCATTTAATCATTAAATTCACATTCTAGTTTTCTTTTTAAAGCAGAATTATTGAGAAATAATTCAAGTAGCAGGCAATTTACCATTGAAAAATTGTCGTTCAATTGTATTAGTTTATTCACAGATTTGTACAGCACTCAGCACAGAGTTTTCAGACTATATTCGTTTTACCAAGTGGCTTCACAGATTCTATACACTTTAGCAGTCATTATACAAATTCTCTAATATCCCCCACTCTAAGGAATTAGTAATCTAATTACTGAAAAGAATTGTTAGTTATAAACATATGATATTAATAGATATATACTATTTGTGTCATTTTATGCCAGTTTATTTCCCCTTCGAGTGAGGTTTGGATGAACTCTGCAATGTATTGTAATGCAGAACTCTGTTTTATTTCACTTACAGTTGTTAGACATTTTAATATAGAATGTTCCTCAATGTTGAGAAATTTCAGACTGCTATTTCTCTTTATACATAAACTGTGTGTGTGTGTGTGTGTGTGTGTGTGTGTGTGTGTGTGTATACTCATTCAGGAGTTACTTTTCTTTTCTCTTTCTGGTAGTCCTATTGTACCTATCTTTGTAAATTTATATATGCCCCCTCATTTTCTGAAACACATTCATTTTTTTTAAAAAAATTATTTGTTTTCATAGGCCATAAAATGCAAATTGTTTGCCTATACTTGACCCACACTTGTTTATTAATTTAAAAATTGTTGAAAACTTGAGAAATCGCCACACTGATTTTCACAGTGGCTGCACAAAGTTTGCATTCCCACCAACAATGGATGAGAGTTCCCCTCTCTCCACATCCTCTCCAGCATAGGCTATCATTGGTGTTTTTGACTTTAGCTAATCTGACTGGTGTAAAATAGTATCTCATAGTTGTTTTGATTTGCATTTCCCTGATCGCTAAGGATGTTGAGCATGACATTAAGTGTCTTTTGGCCATTCGAAGTTCTTCTGTTGAGAATTCTCTGTTCAGATCAGCACCCCATTTTTTAATTGGGTTAATTAGAGTTTTAGTGTCTAGTTTCTTGAGTTCTTTGTATATTTTGGAGATCAGGCCTTTATATGATGAGGGGTTGGTGAAGATCTTCTCCCAGTCAGAAGGTAGCCTTTTTGTCTTACTCACGGTGTCCTTTGCTTTACAGAAACTTCTCAGTTTCAGGAGGTCCCATTTATTCATTGATTCTCTTATTGTCTGTGCTACTGGGGTTCTACCTAGGAAGTGGTCTCCTGTGCCTATGTCTTGTAGACTACTTTCCACTTTCTCTTCTATCTGGTTCAAAGTGGTCAGATTAATGTTGAGGTCTTTAATCCATTTGGACTTGATTTTTGTGCATGGTGATAGAAATGAATCTACTTTCATTCTTCTACAGGTTGACATCCAGTTATACCAGCACCATTTGTTAAAGATGCTTTCCTTCTTCAATTGCATACCTTTAGCCCCCTTGTCGAAAATCAAGTGTTCATAGGTTTGTGGGGAGTCAACCTCCCTCAAGACTCAGCAATTTCACTCTTGGGAATATACCCAAGAGATGCCTTATCATACCACAAAAGCATTTGTTCAACTATGTTCATAGCAGCACTATTTGTAATAGCCAGAACCTGGAAACAACCTAGGTGCCCCTCAATAGAAGAATGGTTAAAGAAGTTGTGGAACATATATACATTAGAGTTTCACTTAGCGGTAAAAAACAATGACATCTTGAATTGTGCATGCAAATGGATGGACATAGAAAACGCTTTACTAAGTGAGGTAAGCCAGACCCAAAAAGAGGAATATGGTATGTATTCACTCAAAAGTGGATTCTAGCCATAATGAAGGGTCTTTGAGCCTATTAATCGTGATCCTAGAGAAGCTAAATAAGAAGGTGAACCTGAAGAAAATCATGTAGTTATCCTCCTGGAGATTGGAAATAGACAAGAGTCCCAAGTAACCTCGGGTGCATGGGGGTGGGTGGGAGGGTTGTTGGAAGGGGAGAGGGTTAGAGAGTAAGGAGTAGGGGAGGAATGGGAAAAGCTCGAGGGACTGGGATTGGGGGGAGGGAGGAAGGATGGATATGGGATCAGGGAAGAATATATCTCAACTAAGGGAGTCATTTTAGGGTTTGCAAGAGACTTGTTTATAAATGGGATCCCAGGTCCAAAGAGAGATTCCCAGATTGTTCTCTCGAGAGAGGAGAGGGTGCCTAAACCGTCCTTGGCCCATAACCATACTGATTAATATTTTGCTTATCACCATAGAACCTTCATCTGGCGATGGATGGAGATAGAGACAGAGACCCACATTGGAACACTGGACTTAACTCCCTAGGTCCAAATGAGAAGCAGAAGGAAAGAGAACGTGAGCAAAGAAGGCAAAACCAGAGGGAACCTTCATCCGACGATGGATGGCGATACAGACAGAGACCCATATTGGAGCACCAGACTGAGCCCCGCAAGGTCCAAATGAGGAGCAGAAGGAGGAAGAACATGAAAAAGGAAATCAGGACCGCGAGGGGTGCGATCACCCACTGATACAAGGGGACTGATCTAATGAGAGTTTACCAGGGCCAGTTGAACTGGGACTGAACAGGCACGTGATCCAACCAGATTCTCTGAATGTGGCCAGATTCTCTGAATGTGGCTGGCCTGGAGTCTTTCTGAACAGCAATTGACAATGACACTGGGACTTGTTTCCTCTGCATATACTGGATTTTGGGGATTCAGTCTGTCTAGATACTCACCTTCCTGGACCTGGAGGGAGGGGGGAGGAACTTGAACTTCCAACAGGGCAGGAAACCCTGACTGCTCTTAGGGATGGAGAGGGAGGAGGAGAGGGAGTGGGGGGAGTGGGAGGGTGTTGGGAGGTGGGGCAGAAATTGAAACTTTTATAATTTAATAAACTTTGGAAAAAAAGAATAAAGTGGTAATAACTCATAAAAAATTGTTGAAAACTTGTTCTAAACCATATATTATAACACTTTTCTCTACATATTCCCCTTGATTTTTTGAACTTATTAGTTTTTGTTCAGCATCAAAGGATTGAAAACTTGCCACTAATCTTTTTAGTATGCCTCTAGTTGTAGGAAAGATTCTTCTTTGAGTAAGATGAATAAAGACCATTTGGGCTCTAATATCCTCATTGTGTTGTAAAGAGATTGTATGAACTGTTAGAGGGTGCTGATTTGAAAGAAGGAGTTGTTGGACTTTCACTCACTGCATTTATCTGAAATTTCATTCATAGGAAACTGTTGAAGTATGAGATATTGTGGTTGCTGAAAACATGCTTTTATTAAGTGTGAAATGAGGAAGTAGGACAGCCATTTATGAAGTAACTGCAACTTTGTGTCACCTTGTCTCACTATAATATTACTCTGATTTAAATAAAGTTTTGAGACTTCTTTCAATGGAAGTTAATGACAATGGCAAATGTTGGAAAATTTAATTCATATTGAAGTGGTAGGCATACCATTTGCTTGTTCCAATATGAGAATGAAATAAAAGCTTTAGTTTTGTAGTCATATGTTGTGTAGATTTTATACATTTACATTTTTCTATATTATATATACTTTAATGGTGTTTTGTCTAATTTTGATATAGAAAAATTGAAAATATTTTCTTTCAGACTTTGCACTTCAATTCTTTGATATTTGTCAGATGCTATACATTTAATTCATTTCCTTCTATGTCAGTACTGATAAAATTTTGGTCTGCCACAGGTTAAAAGAGTAATCATTTAGCAATGAAATAAAATCCATGGTTTGTAATAAACATCATTATATTAATAGGAATAACTGATACTTTTACTGTATTGTATATTTAAATTGCCAATTGACACACCTTCAATAATTGCACTGTAGCATGAAAGCTTTTCATTTACTCTACTGTTTAGAGTACTGAAATTCTTGCTTTTGGAGTTTCATATAGGTCTCTCTTTCCTCTGAAGTTTTCTCCTCTTTCCTTATCTGATAATTTTTTAGCAAGTTTCTAATAAACTATTTTTTCCCAGGCAATCATATTGGAAATCATTTGGGAGAAACTTACTAAGGATTGTATTTTCTGCATTTGAATAACTCATAAACTTTGTTTCATCTTAGAAATAGTAAATACTTTCTAGAAATCAAACAATTTTAATTTAAACAATCATATTACTTATTAAGCAAAGTCTTTTTTAATTATGAAATGAATTTGTGACTCTTATCTTCTACAAAAACTTGTTCTCCTCAAATTTTTGTTAAACTGCTTGATCTACATTTCTGTATTGATATAGATAGAGAGGCATATAACAATAGACATGTTGATATATGCAGTTTTTTCAAATTCATAAATTGCAATAGAGTTTACATACAGAAAAGAATAAAACTTTTTGCCATAGTATTTTATAACTGCAGAAATTAAACTAAAACACATGAAGACTATGCAGAAAATAGTTGCCATCAACACTTTTATATCACTGTGCAGTGCTAACACATACTTTTAATCCTGGCTCTTGGAAAGAAAATGTAGACTCTTCTATTGAGGCCAGCCTAGTCTACAGAGTTTCTTTCAGTACAACTAGGGAAGTTATACAGAGAAAACCAGTCTCAAAAAAACAAACCAAAACAAAAAAATCAAAACTTCTAGGTATTCTACCAGCTTCTATTATTTGTTTTGTCTCATTAGACATTGAAAAAGCTACCATTATTATATGGACTTATCCCTTAGAAATAACATTCTGGGCCAGACAGTGATGTCACATGCCTTTAATCCCAGCACTCAGGAGGCAGATGCAGGAG